CCCCTCTCCCTCCCTCTCTCTCCCCTCCCTCCTTCCCCCTCTCTTGTCCCTCCCTCCCTCCCCTCTCCCTCCCTCTCTCTCTCGTCCCTCCTTCCCCCTCTCTTGTCCCTCCCTCCTTCCCTCTTCCTCCCTCTCCCTCTCTCTCTCTTGTCCCTCTTTCCCCCTCTCTCTCATCCTTCCCTCTTCCTCCCTCCCTCTCTCTCTCTCTCGTCTCTCCCTCCTTCCCTCTCCCTCCCTCCCTCTCTCCCTCTCATCCCTCCCTCCCCTCTCCCTCCCTCTCTCTCTCGTCCCTCCTTCCCCCTCTCTTGTCCCTCCCTCCTTCCCTCTTCATCCCTCCCTCTCTCTCTCGTCCCTCCCTCTCTCTCATCCCTCCTTCCCCCCTCTCTCTCGTCCCTCCCTCCTTCCCTTTTCCTCCCTCCCTCTCTCTCTCTCTTGCCCACAGGCATTCAACAGGTACTGCGAGCTCGGACAGCATTATGAAGCTGAAATTTCAGGGGTCTCCCTATGAGAGCCTTCCCCGGACCCTCTCGTGGGGCAAGAAAGCCGGCCGTAATCTCAGCCTCAATCTCTCCAGCAGCCACGCCTCCAACAGCACCGATTACATCCTCTACAAGAGCCACGAGGACCAATCGCTTCCTCTCGAGCGCATCTCCCGAGGTCCCGACGGCCGCTTTGTGGTACAAAGCGAGGAGGCGTCCCGAGAACGCCACAGCCCCTCCTCCCACAGGGAAAGCCCACCGGAGCCCTACCTCCAAGTCTTCTCCTCTCCCAAGGAAGCCCAGTGGCACCGCAGTGTCCACCTGAGAGCCAAGAACGCTGGACAGGCCCAGCAGGAAGCCAAGGCTTCAAACCATCGACAAGGCCGCTATTTCAACTACAGCAGCAGCAGCCTGACAGAGGAAGGAGAGCCCTTGCGTGCCGCCACGCCGTACAGCACGATCCCAGATACCCAGTGGCTCCGGGACACCGCGGCGCCTTCTCCGTCCTCCTCACCTCGCTGCACATCCAGATCTTCCTCTCCGACAGTCCTCCCCGGCGCGAGTAATTCGGCCCAGAGTGGGATTCTCCAGTATTTGAGTTTGCCCTTCTTCAAAGAGATGAATGTGGACGGCGATTGGCCAGCGGAGGAGAATGAAAAAGATGACGGAACTTTGGTGGAGGCCGTCAATCATGAGCCCGGACTTCTGGGCAGCCCCAGGAGGTCTTTTATGCCAGACCAGGACAGGCCAGCTGGTCCCATCTACATGGACATGGAGGCCGATTCGAGCACCGTTCAGGATCAGCTCGCGGAAACGTCCTTCCTCCAACTTCCGGATCCCGATACGGGTCCCGCGAAGACACCCTTGCCTGGGTCCCTGGCTTGCCCGCTGTACCTCTGTTCCAGGACCGAGAGCCCGCCACCGAAGGACCAAGGATGGTTATGGACGCTGTCGCCTTCCTCGTCGCCGTCCTCCCAGCCCCTCCCGGATTGCCCCCAGGCTGAGCTGTCCTGCCTGGCCCTCCCCTTGCCCGAGCTGCCCGCCGAGAAGCCCAAGTCGCCCACTGCCAATTTCCCACAAACCCTCCCCTCGGAGAAATTCCTGAGGGGCAGCTTGACCAGCAGCCAAAGCAGTGGGCGGGGCAGCGCTTCTTTCATAAGGCCGTCGTCGTTGGCCACCTCTGTAGCGGGCAGCTACCTCAGTTCCCCTTTTGGAGACGCGCCCAGCGGCCGAAGCAGCTCTGTGGGAGACGAGAACAGATACAAAAAGGAGAATTTAGCGGCTGTCTTGGAGAAAAGGTGAGGTCGAATGCCAGGAGGGTCGCGAGGCTTGAGGAATTTTGTAGGGATCTGTTTTCAGGTGGTCTTAAGGAGAAAAGGTGTGAGCTTCAAGGAATAAATAAAAGGAAGTTTTTGTTGTGGCCCAGCAGCAGCCAGCGGAGCTGGCAGCAGATTCAGACAGTGAGGAGGGTTGGGGAGGAACCTGGGCCAGTCCTGGAG